TTTTTCTTTTTTTTTTTTTTTTTTTTTTTTTTTGATTCTTTTATCAAAGGAACTGTGTAAGAATATGTATCTGAGAGTTGACGCAACTTTGAGGGACCTACTTTACATCCAGTTTCCCATTTTTATATCTATAAATCCCTTGACATTGAAAAATTGCTAACCGAAGTTGAAAATCCTGAAGTTAACAAAAGCTTGTCATGGTCATACTGAGCAAAAAAAAGTAGTTCTTAATTTTGCTCTCTTTCCTTTTGTCCTCTTTAGTTTTTTGGGAGGTGCGCTGACGGAAATTTCATTTTTTGGCTGTTATTTAAGAATTTGTAGGTAGGGAGATGAACTGCTTCCAGTGATGCCAGCGTTCGGGCCCAAACGGCTGTTTTTTTTTTTTCTTCCTGTATTTTGCTTGACAGATTCTCTGAACCGATTTTTGCTTTGTTTTCTCCTTTCCCCTTTTCGTTATTAACAGAGTAGATTAAAACTTTTACTTAGAGGCCATAAATGGTACATAAAATGATTGCGTGGCTGGAATCGAAAAATTATAGAATCGTAAACCGATAAAGTTATCGCCGTTGTTTTTTGAGTTGTATGGAAAGTGGAAAGACCTGATGTTAATTCGGTAAAAAAATTGTCCGGACTAGTTTGCTTTTAGATCTTTTTCTCCACTTTTGCTGCTGAGATATATCTGATAGGCTTTTCTTGAAGGCTTAATAGATGATTTACTTTTACTTTGGAGTCCTGGAGTTCATACTTGTTTTTAACAAATGCGTCGACTGAAAAATTATTTTGATTCTTTTTTGCCTTTGTTTTCAATCGCGTTTTTGCTTAACCTCTTGAAGACTTTTTTCTTTTCTTTTTTTTTCTTACAAACCACAATAACTTTCAAAGTTATATAAAAACTGCATCAATTCTCTAATGAAACATCTTTTATTCACTGCCACTGGATGTATTTTAATTGCGAATCGCACAGGACTGGATAAATTACTTGAATTAATTTATCAGCTTTGGTTTATCATTTCTATTTGTCTAATACTTATGTATTAACGTTTTTATGAGTTCAGTGGATTTATTAATGATAATGACTACCTAACAATTACTAGGTGGGGAGTTGGCCAAAAATTTGCTAGCGTACGCCTTTACAGTTAGGTATAGCGGGAGTCAGTATATGATATAAGTATTTTCCAGAACTTGTGGAAAGCGGAAGGCCGTTGTTGTTATGTTTTTGTTTTTAAACTGATAGGCAGTTATTTGAATTGATTCTGGGTCTGCAACAATAAAGGAAGTTTTGGACTCAGTGTCCCGAAGCAATATGACTTGGAGACGAAAGAACCTCTGTAAAATTGGAAAATTATTAAGTGGTTTAACAAAGGTGATTTAAAACTTTGAGAGGCGACCGTTGTTCAAAAAGAAACTTGTCTAGGAAAAAGGTAGGCATTGTGTCTAGTTTAGTTGAAATTATAAAAATTAAGGGTTTACTCTGATGTGCACTTATGGGACATGTGTAATTTAGTAAGCAGTCATTTAAGTATAGTTCGTGGAGGAAGAGTTTCAAACAGGATTGCAAACAGAAGGTCTGAAGTAAAAATTGTTCTGCGTAATTTGATCTCGCTTCTAATAACATATAAAGAAATCATGATTTTTATTAATTTAATAATTTTGTTTTTCTTACTTCGAGCGGTTAAGAGAATAATAATTTTTAAATAGTGATTTTGGTTAAAAGGCTTATTATACTGGAACTTTGCTTTATTTGGTGTATTAATATATTTATTTTCACTTAACAGGGAGTTTTTTCTTGACGAAACCTCTTTACTGCCTGGAATTTTATCTCTAATAAATGGTGAATGTTACCTACGATACATCCTAATCCTACTAAAAATCACATTTATCGTGATGTTAATGAGGTTTTTTCAGTAATTAATTATTTTGACGGCTAATTAATCAGATTTGCCTTTTGATTTTTTTAATTCTGTGAGCAACTAACAATTAAGTGGCTTATGTCGATTCATGGAAGTCCCCCACCTGTTGACTGTGAACTTCTGGTTAGCTTTTTTAATTCAAAGGTTCATTTCCGGTTTAGCTGTTTTATTTTACTCGCCCTCTGTTTTTGTTGTATTATTACCGGTTCTCTGTTTACCTAAAACATCAAGTTTTGTTCAGGATGATTGTTGGAACTGCCCTCCTGAAGATGGTTTCTTTAATATGCTTTCTTCACAGCATTCGCCGGAAAATGTAACTTCAGTGTTTCCTGAAGATATTCCAGGACCATCAGCTGTAGATGACAAGAAAAGGTGCAGCTTCGTGAAGAATCGATCGTCTTATTTATGATCTTATTTATGAGTTTTGTCCTCTAGAGCAGTCTTATGCAGCAAGATTTTTTTCCCCACAACATTCTTTTTTGGTTTTCTGCGGTATTTCCTCTCCCCCTTCTTTAGGTTCACATTCAGCTCCTCGGAATTATCAAATGATGCCTTGGCGTTTCGTCGTCAGTCGCTGAGTCAGTCGGCCACAACCTCTAATGATCTAAATTATATTTCTTCTACTCAAATCGCGTCAATAGCTTTGAGGGATAACGAGGTACTTCATCATGATTTTTCAAGAACAGTTTTTACAGATAATTTATAAGAATTGCAAGAGCGAGAAATATTGGAATTTTAGGGATTCGGTGCCGTCGCTGGTCCTGAAGCAAAGTTAACGAAATTGCAGAAATGTCAAATTTCTTCAGTCCAAAATGAATTTTTTGGCGTTTATTGCTTGATCAGTAGAAGTCCGAATAAATATTTCAAGGTATAGAGATGGTACAAATAAAATTTAGTTTCTTTTGTTTTTTTTTTCATTCAAGATTGGTTATTCCAATTTTTTTATCAAGGAAGAGAAGTTTTCTTAGGAAAAGGCAGTCTTTTATTTGTGAAATATTTTTGTTTTTTTTCATTGCTTTAAAAAGAGAATATCACTGCCTACTTTTTGGTGTTTATAAGTAAATGTACTTCATTCTTATTTTTTAAGTTTAGGTATTATTGTGGTTGGAATATTTTCGATTTAAAAAAATCTTTATTGCTTTAAAATGTTTTGGCAAGGTTTTTTGCATTTGATGACAGAGGATTTATAATTTTAAAAGTATTTAACTTTCACCAAGTAGTGAGGCACGTGGTCCTGCGTGACGTTAGAACCATAGGAGCGTGAAATGTTGTAGTTTGGACTTCCCTGAAAGAGAAGAGAAACTAACTTGTTTTAATCTTGTTTGATATTCGTTTTTTCGAAGTTATTCACTGCGATCTTTTTAGAACCGTTGTTACATTGGTTACACCGTCGATCCTAACCGTAGAATTAGACAGCATAATGCGGGGAAACAGTTTGGTGGAGCACGCAAAACTGATCATCGAGGACCTTGGTGGAGATTTATGCTTTATTCTTCAATTCTTTATGTTCTTTTGATTCTAAGTTGAATAATTGTTATCATTTTTAGGGATATGGTATGCATTATTCACGGGTTTCCTAATAGTATTTCTGCACTTCGATTTGAATGGGCTTGGCAGAACCCTGAGAAGTCACGTCGTTTACGTGCGCTGGGTTTGAAGAAGAAAAGTAGGGAGTCAGCATTTGCATTTCGTTTACGGATTGCTTGTCACATGTTAAACAGCGACCCTTGGAGAAGGCTAGCATTAACTTTTAGATGGTTGTTGCCAGTTAGTTCTCATTCTTATAATATGACTGAAAATTTTTATAACTGAAAATATATTTATTTTGAGGCTTATTAAGTAAAATTTTTTATGTTTTTTTTTTAGAGTGAAAGTCAATCTTTTACTACGGTTTTAGTTTCAAAATTTTATTTTTTTCTAAGAATTATTTGTGGTAAAAGGTATCTTGATTAGATTTCTACCATTACGTGGATTTCGTGGAAATTCGAGATAGCTTTGTGATGACTGTCGAATTTTTTCTGCTAAAAAATGATATCAATGATATCAAAAAATGATATGATATCAAAATGATATCTATTTCAGACCGAGGAAATGCCGTTTCCGTCTGATATTCCTCCTCCTAAGCACATAGTGGTGAAACATGGATTAGTGGAGAAAACGACGACGTTGTTATCCCAGAACGCTGATGCGTACGAACTAATAAAACCGTGCGCTATTTGTCTTCAACGAATTATGTCGGTAATGACAAATTTATTGCAAATTAGTATTTAAGATGCTAAAATATTCTTTATTTTTATAAAATCTTTGTACTTTAAAAAGAATTCATTTGTTTTAAAAATCTGAATTTTTTTTCTGGAGTTTTATTCAGTTTTTTACAGGGTTGTTTATTTCAGATAGAGCAGTTACTTAGGTGTGTCTCTTCCAAGTGTAACTGTCACTTTCATGCTGTTTGCCTAGCAAAAAGAGGTTTGGAGGCCTCTGGTGAACTAAGTCGTTATCTGTTTCCTGTTACTGTATCTTGTCATCTTTGCAAAACCGTTTTTTGTTGGGGTGATTTAGTTCGTGATCAACGAGCGTTAATATCTGCAATGTCTGCAAGAAAAGCTCAATGCGAGAGTAATTTTAATCCGCGTCTAATCCCAAAACTTTCATCTAATGCGATGGGGTTATAAAGTAACGTATGGACTTCGGTGTTTTTTTGAGCTTCATAAAACCTTTGCTGTCCACTTTTGCAATTTCCTATGTCATATTTATCTGTTAGCTTTTTTTAGTTTGCCACATTCAAGTGTTGTTTATCATTTGAAAAGTTACTGTCTGTTAAACTTGGTAAATAATGTAATAATAGAAGTACGAGTCTATTCTGTAGAGGATTTAAAAGTTGGAAGAGATCAAAATTTTGTGTTATTAGAATAGGTTGCCGCACGTGTGCATCAGAGGAAATTTCCAGCTGGTTTACCGAATTAAAATTGAACAGTCATTCGTAATCTTATCGGGTAGTTGTCACCACTGTATTTGTCACATTTGCAAGGTAATTTCTGTTTCCCGCCATTTGTTGTGTAAGAAATGTATTCCCCATTCATTTTTAAACCTGTTTTTTTATTTCGCTTACAAGATGCTGCTTTCTTTTTTTTTTTTTCTTTGTACAAGAACTACTTAATGTACCTACAACTCATTGGAGCGTAAGGTTAAAGATTTGATTAATATTAAAGTCTAAATTGCATAGTTGATTGTTTAATATCTATGATATGTGTGAATGACAAGTTTTATATTGATGGTTGTTTTTGTAAAGACAATAATCCGAAACTGTTTTTTATTAGTGGAGAAAAAACTGGTAAATAGCTCTCTGTATCAGTTTTCATTGAATGCAAAGCATTGTGGTATACGTTAGGTGCAGCAGTTGTTTGTCGTATTTGAACGGGAAATAAGACTTTCGGATATGTTGTTTTTTCCTTTTAAAAAGAAATTTTACTTTGCAATTATTTTTGGTTCTACCGTATTAGTACAAAAACTTGGGTTGTTTATAATTTCTGTTATCCAAAATAGTGGTGGCTTGAAATACTCTTTATTTAGATCTCTTTGAACATGTGGTGATATTAAGGCTGATTGTATTTGTGTGTTGTGTGTTTTTCTTCAAGGAAGAATATCTTGTACTATTTGAAAGTGATAAAATACAAGTATAATTTTTGAACATTTTTGAAAATTTTGTCTACTTTTAAATCTATTCATTAACTGTTGCCTTGTTTAGCTTGAAATTTAGCAAATTTTAGTTGCATTTTTAATTTGCTATACTCAGTTAGGGTTGCTGTGTATGTGTGTTCAGCTATAGTTTTTGCCCCGATAACAGGTGTAGAGTCATTCATTCAGCTAATCTCTCAACGATCTGCTTTTTTGGGTTTTACTCTGCTGCATACTTAAGGACAGCATTGTAACTCGATAACACTTTTGCGCTCTAATACTACTTTGAATTGTCATTCAGGATTATTTGGTGTAGTGATCAAAAAAGTTTTTGGCAGAGGAAGATAAAGTTGTCCACAAAGTATTAGCGGCAAAAACTATATGAATCTTAAAAGAGTAATTGAATTAACCAACGAATATGGCAATAATTCATCTGAATTTCATTTTTACTTCATATGTGTATAAAAGATCGGAGTTGTAGTACGCTTAAGTGTTTCTCATGTGATGTTTCATTTAGTCAGGTAGTGAGGATCAACATTTTTTGAGCAGTCTGAAGGTCACAGGCACACAGAGATACACACACACAGACACAAACATGCACCAACCCATTATATAAATATATATAGTTGCTGGTAATTGTATTTTGGTTAAAGGAATAACAAAAAGAACAGTAGGGGAAGCGATAAGAAGAAACATAAAGAAACATATTTTGCTATTGTAGACATATGTAAAATGGTTAACTACAGCAGCAGCAACAGCAGCAAATAAAATGCGAATGAATGTAAAAGCAAAAGTTGTAGGCTATTGTAAAAAAGCGTAGTTTTAAACGGACAAATAGTTCGGATATTAAACACCACTATTCAGACAGCGTTTATAATGTTGTCTTCTATATAAATAAGTACTATTGAATGGTCATTGTTACAATTTTCAAGTAATTTTGGCATTTCAATCTGGCAGTACCTATATTGATGGCTTTTCTTTTAAAACTACAAAAATACATGAAGAAAACTGTGCTTTTGAAAATCAACAGTATTAATCACAGTGTAAAAGAGGTTTTAGTCTTAATTACAACCAAAGAATTGTTCATTAATCAACTTGTTTTTGATTTTTCAATAACTGGCAAGGAGCAGCTTTAGAACTTTTTTTCAGGTATCAAGAAGTTGTTTGTTATCCTTGTCATTATTATTATTAATATTAATAATATTATTACTTTTTTGTATTATATAAATGAATAAAATTATTGCAAGAATAATGATCTTTGAAATACTTTTGGTTCAAGAATCATTGATGTCTAATGTTCACTAGGCTGCTGCATCTGAATAAACTGCATTGTTTACAAATATTTATTCTTCCTTTTTGGCTATTTCCTATTTTTATAAACAACTCATAGTATTCAAGAAGGAATACGATCAACTGATGTTTGCTCGTTTATTTTGTTTGTTTGGATCTGATCATAAATGACTTTCAAACCAATTCAATGATCACCGTTTGATCGGTCTGGTCGGGGTAACCCGGGTTTATTGAACTGTTCAAATTCGATCGGTATATGGTTGTTCTACAGTTTCACTACAAAGTTTTCATCATCCAAGCCCAGCAAAATGGAAGAATTTTTCACACATACTTGTTTGGTCAAAATCTGAGACGGCTTAAAAAAGAGTTTAAGGAAATAAAAAAGAAGGAAAAATTTAGTGAAAAAAATTTTTTTTTAAGTACAGTTGTTGGGGAAAGGGGTTTGCCGGTTTGGTGGTGCATGTGCATCATAAGGCAGCAGTTTTGGGTGCTTTCCGGAATGTTGTCGTTGTTGTTGTTGTTGTTTTTGTTGTTGTTTATCATTGTCGTCACTTATTTGCAGCAGGCGTAGTAGGAAATGTGTTTGTGTGTTTGCCTATGTTGTTTATCGTAAGGACCCAACAACCAAACGCGCCAATGTGTGTTTGATGTTTCTGAGGGGCCGGACAGACTTTCTTTTTCACCCTCCCTGAAAATTAGTATAGAA